CTGAAGAGTTTAAGTAAACAAAAAGACTTCCTGAAAATTTTGCAGGAAGCCTACAACCAGGGATAAAAACAGCAGAAGAACTAATCTGACTTTTTCTCCATTTAAAAAATATCATTAACTGACTCTACCAAAATTAATTAAAATCTTACGACAACTCAAAGAATTGCACCTTTGAAACACCCAAGCAAAGAAGTCTTTCCTATTTGTCAAAAATTCTGCTTATGCACGCCTGAATTTTTGTACAGACACACATTTCTTCCCTGCTCACCTATTTTTCACACAAGCTCATTGTAACATCTTCACAGTACCCATACAGTATAACTATAAAGCAGCTTGACATTGTTTGGACACACAAGAGAACCAGGTCAGTGTTACATAAAACTCAGTGCATACTCCTGGGATAATTTGTGGTGGTTTTGGGGTTTTTTTTGTTTGTTTGTTTTTTTAAAAATCAAATTAAAGAAGAAAACTGGTATCAAATGAAGAAAACCAACCCTTTAGGCATCATACCGTAACTCTTGAACAGCTCAGGTTGCTTCAAGGGCAGTTCAACTGTTTCTCTAATAGTTCTGAGCTGGCTGCTCAAACCTCCTATCGTGTCATAGGTGACTTGGGACTCACAATCGCCATCTTCTGCTACACTGGTCCTGGGTTCTATAAAATTGATCCTAGTTCTTGAAGAAATGAAATAAAAAGAGTCTGTATTGCTTATTGCTCCGGTTTTGCCCGTTATTGGGAGTCCCTCACTGCTGCTTTTCCCAGCCAACTCCGAATCCTCGGCGAGGTCTGCACCATCTCCCTTGCTGTAGGTTTTCTCTCCCTGACCAGAGTCTGGACCACTGGCTGTCACAGAACTGGGTGTAACTGGTGAGCCTGGATCCATTGGTTTGCTTGGTGTGCTCAAAGATGCAACCCCTGGACTATCACCAATGTCCATCCTGCCGAGCTGTAGGGACAAATCTAAGGCGCTCGTCTCCAAATCAGATCTCTCAAGGTCTGGGTCACTGGGAATGGCGCTGCCCTGGGCACTCAGCTCTGCACCATCAGTTCCTTTCACTCTCATCACCACGATGTTGCACAGTTTGCCATAGAAAGTAAAAGCCAAAAGGTTTCCTGGTAGAACTATTTTCCCATCTATGAGAAGATGAAAGAAGAAAAAAGACAAAGAAGGTGACATTTCAATCTACTGTGGCAGCAGTAACATTCAGACATTCTTGCATTAGAATAATTCTTTATCATTCATTTAGAGAATGCTGTTAGTTAACATAACAAAAGGTAGTAACATAATTTCAAGGTAATTTCAGGTACTTTGCATGATCCCTTTGTACACAAGCAGACTTTAATGGATAAACATTTGTCAGCATCATATGTAATCACTCATACTAAACTCGTAATTAATCTGAGTCTTTTAAATTTCATACAAAGGGAGATTATTGGAATTAGTATTGTAAGAAGTAAAAATTTTGTGTTTGCTGTGCACCTGATAATATTTTATGTTCAACCCACTTTCTTTGAGAGTATTGGCCTAAAAAAAGACAGGTTTTAGCCTATGCATTGACAGAGAGATGAGGCAATGTGATCTGAATATACCCTACAGGCACAAAAAAAAAAAAAACAAGGCAAAGCATGAACAAGATTTCCAGCCAAACTCATGAATTTGCAATGCAGTTCATGTTTCCTGCTTCCTGGAGTAGCAATGTTATTAATTCCTAGGCCAGAAGATTCCCTTTGAGTAGAACAATTTGTAGTGAGGAACACTACCTTGAATAACTTACCTTTTTTTTTTTGCCTTACTTACATTTATCTACCACCCAATGAAGAGCAATTTTACTTATTTACCACCAACATAAAAAAGAGATTCAGAGACTGGGATTTCAGGTTAATACTGATACTTTATCTTGGTTTTAGTGTACAGTATTGCAGTCTAGTCTTCACAGTGCAAGTAAACTCTGAAGTGCATCACAATATCAGCCAGAAGGCCATCAATGCTGAACACTCCTAACTTGAACCAGACAAAAGTATAATGGATAGAAGGAACAGAGCCACAAGTTATGCAAATTACACATTTACAACATGGCAAAATTATTTAGCCTGAAGACAAAATTATTTAGCCCAAAAGAAGTGGGAACAAAATAACGCCCCCTATTTTGCCATAAGCCCTTGATTAAGAACATAAGAGGAAAATATTTGCTCTTCTAACCAAGACTTGATGACCTACTACGAAAATTGAACAGGCAAAAGAGAAGCAGCAAAACTCATACCAAGGTTTCTCAGCAGACACACAGACATTTCCTCGGCATTAACGATGGCATCTTTGTCCCTGTGGTAGGAAAGAAGAAAATTACTTTTCCAAGCAATAACTACTTCAAAACCAAACCAGAGGCCACAGCACTAAAGCACCAGGATGACCTGTTTTAGGGTATATGACTTAACCCCACAAACAGAAAAGATGTATGAGCACTTCAGTCTTCAAATAACAACATCTTAACTCTGAAAATATTACACACACAGCAACAAAAGAAGTGTAGCTATTTCATCTGGGTTTTGGGTGGTTTTTTTCCAAAGAAAATGCTTTAATTAACAAAATGCTAAATTAGATTTATTGTTTCTTAGGATCACAAACCTGCAATGCAGGCTTCTCATCTCACCAGGCAGAACAGCCATTGCTACATTTACTGAACTGAAAACAAATCAGATAAGGCAGGTCTCTTTCAGCCCTGCAAACACACATGCAAATCTTTTAATCGATTAAAACAGTGCCTTGAGCACTTGCAAAACTGTGCACATGCCTTAAGCACTGCACATCCACTACCAAAACAGTACAAGTCTTCCCCACAAAGCATTTGCTAGTCTTTTGTTTAATTAAGTGACTAAACAGATAAGAGTCACTACATCCATTCCACAGCTTTTCTAAGCATTTACACCTGTACCTTCAAAGGCACCACACCAAGAGGGGAACGGCAGCAGCACCAAAGGCGTTTAAAGCAGACACGGATGCTGCAAATCAAGGCTTGATCAACGGGGGGAGCCCTAAACCTGCAGATAAAAACCCATTGCTCAGTTCTGCTGCTCAACAAAGGAACTTGGGGCAAAGAGCTGTATTAAGCTAATTTAAAGGAGAGCCCTTAAAATACCATGGCCTTTCCTGATGAGTAAGCACATACTCAATTTTGTTGCTGGGGCCTGAAGTTGAGGGTGGATTTTTTTAACTGGAAGAAAAAGCTGAATTATGCGTGCAAGCAGTACCCAGAGGTGTTGATTTGCAGAGAATAAACTTCACCTGTAAAACACCTAGAAACCCAGGGAGTACTCGAATAATGGAACTTCAGTTCATTCTTTAAATAATTTATATTCTTACACCATAGTTTGTAGTAAATTACCAGGCTTGAAACAGACCAATTACAGTTTTCATGTTTTCTCTCCTAATTTTAGAAAAGCAGTCATTTATGAGACTTAAAAATCTGAAGGTACATCTATAAAACAGTCCTCAGAGCCTGACTCTTGATTCACTGAGTGGAAAAACTCTGGCTATGGAACAGTTTCCTAAAAGAAAAATAAATCACAGTAATCATAAATATTTCAAAAGCTACATGCAATTCCTCTGACCTCATTCTTAGCTTGTATTTCAGTAAAAGTCACAACTTCAAAAAAAGAATGCATTGCATATTAACATGGAGGAATAGAAATATATTACTTTTAATTATTTAATTTATCATGAGGTTGGGTTTTTTTAACAAAACGTGTGTTTTCAACCACCTCTGTAACAAGTAGCCATGTTTGAAGACAGAGGTCTGAAAGGAAAGTGATGTTAATTTATATAAATATAAGTGCTGAGACACTTTCAAAAGCAACTGTAAAATAACTTTAGGAAATAACTATAATCAGATTCTGCATCAACCCAAATGTTGACTCTATGAAGTGTTAGAATGACAAGTACAGGAAATCATTCAGCAAATCAATAAACTGCTGATTTCTCAGAGCACTCATGATTTTAAGACAACTGTGATTTGTACCTTTCATTTCCTTTCTTGGGTCAAGTTCACTTATAAACAAAAACACACCTCAGAGTTTCCAATCCTAAAAAAAAACCAAACGGTAAATAAAAGCAGAGGACAAAACCATCATATATAAAGGCGAAGTTTTGAAGGGAAGTGCTTAAAAAAAAAAATCACTCTCTTCAACAAGGCTATAACAAGTTCCCTACCTCAACTTTACATCGACTTCCTCTGCCTGGATGACTGCACCAGTCACAGGCTGCACAGTGACACTATCACCTGGATTTACTTTCAGGTTCTTCTGTGTGGTTTCATTCAGCCCAATCTTCCCACCTGGAAAGCCTGCAGTGGGCCAAGCAGTACAGACCTAGGAAGAGTTTCCAAAGCAAGTCAGTTGAGATTTCCTCCCCCCCCTCATTTCCAGTTAAGCTAAGTAACACTTGATTACAAAAATATGGGCTGAGGGGAAGGATTAGGTTAAAACCTGGTGCCACAGAGCAAAATACAAGTAGCGTTGAGCTCTTAAGACATGATTCAAGACACTCCAAGAAGGAAGAGGTTGTATTTTGAAAAAAAAAACAGCAGCATGGACTTTTCCCAGCATTGAGAATGAAGATATAAATATCACACAGAAAACATGGAAGAGCATGTTCACCATCTTTCTCAATGCATGTTCCATGTTGATCCCACTGAATACAACAGCAAAACGCTGAAAAGCACAGGAAAAGCCTTTATGGGAGCAAGAAAGGGTCTCACCTCCTGCCGCCCATCAGCTGAGGTGAGCAGGGCCGGCCGCCCAATGCAGAGCTCCGCAGACTTCATGCTGCTCAGCGACAGCTGCGCCAGGACTCTGCGCAGCATTTTCGGGACTTTGTCATCTCCTGATGTTTTTAGGGGGAAAAAATAGTCGTTTTTTTCCCCGCTAAATCCAGCATTTCCCGCCCTCCCCAACCAGTACAACAACAAACCCCTGCCCAGCCCTCACGGTGCCCGCCCTGAGGGGAGTGCAGGGACCCCCGTGAGGGGGAACCGCGGGGCGGGGATGCCGACGGGGCTGGGAGAACACCCGCGGTCACACGCTGCTGCTCGGTACCGCACCTTCCACCCCGACACAGCTCCCGCTCCACGGGAATAAAGAGCAGATTTCACGGGGGCCCAGCCGACTTTGCCCGAGAGAATCCCCCGGTCCCGCCTTTGCGAGCACGGCTCGGCAGGGACTCAGTTTCAAACGAGGCGCCCTCAGCGCGCCGCGCTGGGGCAGCCGGGGCTGGGAAAGCCGGGGTTGGGGAAGCCCGTCCCCGAGCAGCCCGTCCCCGCCGCCTGCACCCCCGTACCTGCCTCCACGGCGTCGGCGACCCGCAGCGCCAGCGGCCCGCCCTCAGCAGCTCCGAGGGGAGCATCCCGCGGGGAGCCGCCACCCGCGGCCAGGCGCCCCTTGCTCTTCCTTTTGGAAGAGGAGGCAGACATGCTGCCCCACGCCGAGTGGTTCCGGAGCAGAGGCCGGCACCGCCCCGGGGGCGGAGGCTCGGCGCCCCCCGCCCTGTTCGGTGCCATGGCGCGGCTGTGGCGGGCGCTGCGGAGGGCGCGGGGCTGGGCGGCCCTGGCGGGGCTGCGGGCGCGGCCGGACAAGTTCGGGGGGGTGAGCGTGGACCTGGGCGAGCTGCGCCAGCCCCCGCGGGTGGAGCGGGCGGCCTTCGGGCGGTGGCTGCGGGGCAAGTGCCGGGCGGGGCTCCCGGGGCAGCGGGGCGGGCGGGGGGCGCTGTGTGAGGGGCCGGCGGGGTCCCGGGGAGCAGCTCCCCTCAGCCGCCGCCTTCCCCTCACGGGCACAGAGCCGCGGCCGTGCGGCGGGGAACGCCGGCTGGAGGGAGCGGAGGGCGCTCACAGAGCCACGGAATTGTCAGGGTTGGAAGGGACCTCTGGAGATCGTCCAGTACCACCACCCCTGCCAAGGCAGGGTCACCTGGGGCAGGTGACACAGGAACGCGTCCGTGTGGGTTTGGAATGTCTCCAGAGAGGGAGACTCCATGACCTCCCTGGGCAGCCTGTTCCAGTGCTCTGCCACCCTCAGCGTAAAGGAAGTTCTTCCTCGTGTTGAGGTGGAATTTCGTGTGTTTTAGTTTATGGCTGCTGCTCCTTCTCCTGTCGCTGGGCAAGAAACTGCAAGGAGTCTGACACCGTGCTCTGGTGAAACTGAAAAGAGTCTGGCACCGTGCTCTTGGCACCCACCTTTGGAATATTTATATGTATTAATAACATCCCCTCTCCATGGTCTTTTCTCCAGTCTAAACAGGCCCAGCTCCCGTAGTCTCTCCTCATAAGAGAGATGCTCCAGACCCCTAATCACCTTTGTTGCCCCTCACTGGACCCTCTCCAGTAGCTCCTTCTCTTTCTTGTGCTGAGGAGCGCAGGACTGGACACGGTACTCCACATGAGTAGATTCCCCTGTGCCTTACAGCAGACCCTGACAGAAAAGCCATTATTTCACGTGTGAATACCAAGTTGTACCACATGAAATGTCAAGCTGCCAGCCTGTGTCATTGCTGGCACCTTCCTCACACCAACAATAGTTTGACCCTATAAATGAGGTGAAAATACACGATAACCCCAGTTGTGCGCAATAAGGTTTAAAACCACACAGATCAAGGGCAAGGGGGGGCTGTCTCTGAGCGGTGGCTGTGGCCCTGACCCTCCTCACTTCCCTCTCTTGCAGAGTCCGTGGCTCAGTGGCGGCAGGAAGGTCGCATTGCCGTCTGGCTCCGTGTCCCCATCCTCCAGAGCGGGCTTGTGGCAACAGCTGCTTCCCAAGGCTTTGCTTTCCACCATGCCGAGCAGGGCTCATCCACCCTGACACTGTGGCTGGGAGAGGGGCCCAGCAGGCTGCCAGGGTTTGCCACCCACCAGGTGGGTGTTGCAGGTGAGTTACAGGAGTGATACGCACAAAAAGACTTGAACAAGCCCTTAGGACCAGTAGGAAATGGGCTGTTCCTCTGGACAACCAGCTGCCAACTACTGTTGGGGTGACTTTACAAAGGGAAGTGTGTCATTCATGAATGTGCCTGTACAACAGCATATGTGGCTAAAAACAGCCAGATGGAGGTTTCTCAAAACAATTCCAGTTGGAGAAAATTGTGAAGAAAATGTGGTCCTGAAGCTGTAGAATGGGGAGCTCATGAATATTGCTTTTAAACACCATTCTGAGAAAGGTGTTGTCTTTTCACCTTGCAGGTAAGTGAGAGTAAAGATTTCAAGCAGTGTTTTAAAATGAAGAAGTAACCACAATCATAGAGAAATAAAAAAGCATTTCTCTGCTCGCTCTCCTTGCTGTAGATGCTTAGTATATGAATCTGCTTAACCTATGCTCACATTAAGGTCTGTAAATGGGGACAACTTGACCTAACAGGGATTGGTTCAGAAGCTAAAACAACTATTAGCTGAAATTACAGTGGTCTAAAAGCTGCTCTGTGCCAAGAAGTCTGTATTCCAAACAAATATATTTTACAAGCAAACATCTGGACACCATAGTCTTAACCAACTAGAACTCCCACAATCACGGTTGGAAAGAAGTTGTTCCATAACTGAGAACATTTGCAAGGAACTGGATAAGATGGTTCCCCTTTTTTTTGTTTGTTTTTTTTTTTTTTCTTTGTATAGCACAGTACAAGGAACTGATGATGAGCCAAAAAAACTTAGCTTCACCAAATTCGAATGTCTTAGCACTGTCTCTCTGCAGAGTTCCACAGGTATGCCACTGCCTAGCCCATCTCTCAGTAATCTGTTATTTGGAGGTTTGTTTGGACCCCTCCTGTAAAGTTACTTTAACACTCAGAAATTATGGGATAGGGAGAGCAAATCACTCCAATTACAACCTTGACTTGTTTGTCCTTGCCTTGCAGGGACTGTGTGGGACGTTATTTCTTCACCAAGTAGTGTTAAGACCCATAAATAGCAATTTGACAAACCTAGTTAGGAAGAACTCACAAAAGATGGATTGTTCGGTGTAGCAGCAGGTCAGGTGAAAATAAGTTTCGGGGAAAACGCCTTGAATTACAAAACAGTTCTACTGCCATCGGCAGCGGGAGCCTTCCGTCCCACGGCCAGCAGAGGGCAGGGTGGAAGCCGAAGGCGGCCTTGGATTTTGTCAATGGACATGTTGGAGCATGTTTTCCTGAGGTATGGAAACCTCACCATTAAAATATGTGGCATTAAACTGGAGCAGGATAGCGCATTCCCTCAGCAGAAGCTCCGCGTTACTCCTTGTGGTTGTAACTCGAGTGCTTGAGGAAACGGGATTAATTGAGAGGGGTTTTTTTCTGAAGTAAGACCTGCCCAGCTGAAAATGTCCTTTGGAAGAAAATCATGTAAAAGATGTGTTGTGACCCCAGTGGTTGTCAGGAAGGACTTCGTGTAAGAGAAATCATAACTCTTGAGAGACTCTCAAATAAACATTTGAAAATACAGAAAATGCACTTTCAGAGCATAATTTGCAGTTCCACTTTGAAACACTTGGCACTCTGCAAGTAGGAAAAGGTTTGAGGAAAGGAAAAATTTCACAAGTGCAGGTAGATGGATTTCATAACTTATTGCACAGATTTAAAAACTGCAGAACATAAAATGTCTGTATTCTTTGCTATCACTTTTCAAACCTGTGCATTTTTACTCATTATTGGGAGTTTTTTTAAAAGAGGTAAGGAGTTAAGGAAGGCATTTGGGGCATGTAGACAAGCAGATTTCTCTGTGAAATAATGATTGCTATGTGGTTTTTTCCCCTCTATTCCACTCACTGTCAGTGGAGATGGAACACATCCCAAAAATACACTGAGCAGTGTGGCTACCACCTGGAATATGTTTATTCCATTAGCTTTCTACTTTAGGACGGAGAGCTTGGGTAGTGGAAGGGCTTCATTCTATTTTTAATTAATTTTATTCAAATATTAAATTATATAAATACGCTCTTTTATATTTTGTGGGTGGCAAACTCCAGGCATTTTTATTTCCTGAACAAAAAAAAAAAAGTATTTTAAAAAGTATCTGCAGTAAAGGAAAGCAATTTTCTGATGAGAATCTCCATCTCAAAGCTGTGGCCAGTCAGTGAAATACAGGACTCAGTCCCTTGAGCATCCTGGAAATGAAAAGCAGAGACATGGAGAGTGGTTGGCTGGCCAGAGGGAAACCAGCACAGGGAGCAGGCAACAGGTAGCAGGTCTCATTGCCAAGTAGACCAGCAGCTGGTTTCCCTGCTGTCTGGAGTTTCCCACGCAGGGAACGCTGCGCAGCCAGGGCTTGTGCCTCGGGATGGTCCAGCCAAGTGATGACAAAGGTGTGAATAAGCGAGGTCAGGTCATACTTGACCAGACTGGATGAGAGTCGCCAAGCAGAGAGTAGCAAATGTTACTCATTGGGCTTGGCCATTATTGTTTAGAAATAGTGGAACATGTGATGTGTCTCCCAGCTCACTCGCTGCATCCGTTTGTAGGCGGCAGGATTTTCCACATGTGTAAAGATACAGGAAAGTCTCTGGTGTATGAAGTGATTAACATGTTTTGCAGAAGCATTTCCAACGTTCTGCACCTCCTGGGAGGAATTGGTCTGCCACCCAGAAAGGGACGTGTTTGTAAACATGCCACGCAACAATGGCACAGGCAGACAAGTTGAGGAAGGAAAGTGAAAGGAGAGGAAGAAAAGTTAAAGTCATTTATTCTCTTCTCCCTCACATGTAGTGTAAGCCTTACAACACAGCTGTTATTTTCATTGCTACCTACCTTAATCTACTTATTGAATCAAAGTCCTTGGAGTCTACACACGCTGAGGATTATCAGCCTTAGCCAGTCCTGTTACTTAAGGAAATGGGTAAAATGAGCAGCTGCATTAATGTGAAACTGCACAGGAAGGTTATGATGGCCCAAGGAATCAAAAGTGATTTAAAAGTAGTTCCCGAGTTGTTTTACAAATCCCTACTCTTGTCTGCTGCTATTTACAATGCCAGCAGTTGTGCATGCACTCATGTGGTCGACAAGTGCTTTTCAACACGGAACATCTTTGCATACATGTTTACATCAGTCATAAATAAAACAGGTAGGATGAAGATATTTTTCCCCTCCATTACTCATTACCTGGAGTTGTCTAAGGGATTTTATTTTTCTAATGCTTACCTGTTTCCCAAAAGAGAACATTCAAAACAAAGCAGTGTTGTAATACTGAGTACTTGGCTGGGTTATGAGTATAAACCTTTCCAGAAAGTCCTGGTGTTGGATGCTTTAAAGCTCCAGGTACCACATTTGTAGCAAGGGGGAGAGTTTTTAAACCTGCAGTTCAGGGCCTGCAGTCAAGCTCTGATCTCCCTGATACCAACCAGGTGCAGCTCAGGGCCTTTTGAGCTACTCTTGGGAACACGAGACCAGACAGCAAATCCTGTTAGTGTTCTTCCTTTCGTTTTGCTTTGGTTTTAGGTATCCTCTAGCAGAGATTCTGATCATCTTAGTGACCATTTCACTGCCAAAAAATGACATTTCAGGGGAATAGAAACAGAGAAGAGAACACATACTTTCTGTTTGATACTTTGCAGTTTCCTGCCTGCAGCAGTTCTCCCTGGTCTCAGCAAACCATTTGGCTGAACAATGGCTTTACTAGAAAACAATCCCAGTAATCACAGCTTTCATCGAAGTTACTCCTGTTTTCCTTTTGTTCCCTCTTTAATCAGCAGAGTACTTGAACCTGGACACTGCTAAATATTTACAGGAGGAATGAAATCATACTGTCACAAGCCAGGGGGAGGCAGATATGTGACTACCCTCCCAAAACACGTCCTTTGGCATATCTTGAAGGAAGACTGGTATTTCATCCTTTAAATGTTCCTCCTACACAGAAGTCTGCCATGTATTATTAAAAAAACAGAGGGTGTTGTGAGCTGGACACTCATTCTTTAATAATTCCCTTCTGTGGAAATATTTCCCCAAAGCATTTTAAATGCATATATCACAAATCTGCCTGTATACTCTTCCTCCTGCTGTAAAATGACAGAAGCATTTTTTTATAGTTAACTACTAATTTGAAACCCATGCATGACTGATGTGGAAAAGAGCCTGGTGAGCTGCACCACAGTACTCGTTCTGCTCACCACAGGACTCTTGAAAAATCTGAGAAAAATGCCTGTTTTAAAGGAAGGACGTTTTTAAATAGGACCAGTGAGGGTGACATGATGATTAAACATGAAAGCACTTGGGTTTTAGAAAGTAGGAAAACTTGTAATCTGCAGGAGAAAGTCATGGGCTGAGCATGAGGACATAAGGAAAAGTCAGACATCCTGAGGGGTTTTTTTTAACAAGTGGAAGTGTCACTTTTCCACTTGGAAGCAACACTTTTTGGTTAACAAGTTGACTCAAATTATGGCGAGTTCCTGTCATTAGTTCACAGATAGTCACCCAGCTGAACATTATCAGCACCGTGAGCCCCCTGAGTAGTAAACCTTGTGTGTCATTAACCAGAAAACACTCAGATCTTCGCTACAGCAGGTGGGAGTTCTGTCATGAATTTCACTGGAGAAAAATTCTTACCCCTTAAGGGTGGCTTCTCGGCCAGAGTCACTGGAAAATTTTCTGTTCCTTGAGCAAGATTACAGGCACGTCTCTGCTGCAGCTTTGCTAGATTGTTTGGGTGACCTCTTGATCTTGCATTCTTTAGTTCTGATATTAACACAAGCAAGTTTTTCTTTTCATTTCTTGTCTAATCTGGAACTTAAATGTTGCAATTATTTGTCTTGGTACTGTGCTAACTCTGAATTTTTATACAGGGTACTTAACCTTTTTGTGATACTTTATTGTGTATCAGTTTTCCACCAACAAACCACTTTGTGATTCATCTAAACAAACCTTGCCAACTGTAAATGGTATCATTAGGGGTTTGCTATGCTTTATCAAAATGTGTTAGATTTTAGTTGTTAAGATTGGACATAGTTGTCCAGCACTGCATTTTTTCAATCTTCTTTCTCTACTAGGTGCTGTTCTAGATGAAAGCACTGGAAAGGTCCTGGTTGTACAAGACAGAAATAAGGTAAGTTTGTTACAGGATTATAAAATAGAGAAGTTCGTTTAGATAATCTTGCTCTGTAGTATAAAACAAAATATATGTTTATTTTAATACCAGTCCAGAATTGTGATAGTTTAAAGTTACTTCCTTTCACGAGTGTCTTGCAACACATCTATCAACAGATTGCTGTATTCCATTTTAAGGGAATAAAAAAGTGCTTTGAAAATCAAGGCCTTTATTGTTAATTATAACAGATGATTGACTCAGCACTGCTAAGTGTCCTTCTTGCTTTGAATTTTTCTTCTGTAACTGACCCAAGAGTCCCTAATCATGTGTTTGGAACCATGCAGACCTCTGGAAAAACCCCACAGCTCAAAACAGATTTTTGTGAGGAGGTTGCTGATTTTGTTTGGTTTCAAAAATTCCAGGCATGTCTGTGGCTTTAAATAAGCCATGCCATGGTTGGCCATGACCTGGAGAGCACCTTAGTATGGCAAGTGTAAAGATCCCTAATTCCTCACAAACAGGGAATGCCAAACCAGAGCATTAGTGTGGGGATGGTGGGTCGTGTGATGTGGCTTGAGGTCACCAAACATCCATCACTGGGAATGTCTTCCAGCCCCCATCAGGCTAACCTAGGCTGTTAATCCAGCAGCTGCAGAAAGCTCACTGGCTCAATGGCAGTTGCCTGTGCTGCGCTATTCCACAGAAAAGGCATTTAGCTTCCATTATGGTTTCATTTGCAAAGTGTCTCCAGTACAGTGAGATTAACTGCAGTTTTAACATGGAACGATCAAACCTAGGTGGACTGAAATACACTTGGATGCATCACTTCCATTTTATATAGTTAAAACTATGTCAGAATCTCACTGGCTGCATTTTTCTGTCTTTCCTCAAATAGCTACTAGGACATTTCTTCCCAGGACCAAAACATCAGTTCATTAGTAACTACAACACAGTTAATGAACTTCAATGAAAGTGCTTTCATAGGCAGGTTCAGTTATACAACATGTTGAATTTCTAACACAAAAGACAAAGGTGTTTCTCTTCCTCTGAACTCCTTTCCTGCAATTAAAGATTTTTATTTTTTTATTTTTACTTATAATAAATAAAAACACCAAGGACTTTTCTATAGCAAGACCTTCAGGCTTACATTGAGAAACTACCAGTTAAAGCATGAACCTACCCCACATGCTGTAGGCTCCAGAAGTGGTTCCAGTTCTAGAGAGTGTCTAGGAACAGGACAGCACATTGTAAACTTTAGAAACATGACCTTTATTTATCCTTCTTACACACAAAAATATAAAACTGTATGCTTACCGTTTAGTAAGGATCTTAAACAGGTCTTAAAAAATATCTGCATATTTAGAAGGAAATAGTAGTTTCCTAAGCCCAGAAGGTGTGAGGCTTAACTTCGACCTGTGTGGTTTTGTTAAAGCTCCCCCACAGGCATTTTCAGTGCAGGTGTCTCTACCTATTCTACAGTGACATCAGATGCTCTAATTTGGGTACTGGGTTCAATTCCATACTCACCAGGCATTATCTCTTTCACCTCTGGCCCCAAAACACAAGAGGACCAGTCTGGCACTGCTCTTCCCCGTTCCCTCAGCTCATTCTGAAAAGTGGGATATGCCAGGTCAACTATTTCAGCTCACCTTTCCAGAACAAAGCTGACAGTGCAGCAGGTGAGGAAGGTGAAAGGAAAAAAGTGATTGTTTCTGACTCTCCTCTTTCCAGCTCTTTATTGACTGGGTAAAATTAAGTCTAAATGCTGAAGTGTATGAACATCCATACATTCCTTGTGCAGTGAGCAAATATCTCAGTGCAAGCAAATAGCTCAGACAGTTGTTTCCCACTGTCGGTTCCACCACTTCTTTCCCTTCTCTTTTCCCATAAAATGAACAGTTTCCCCGAAATGGTGTCTTTTAAAATAAAGGATGTTCTGAAAGCTTAAAAAAAATAATTAAGCAGCTGGCAGAATTTTAAGAGCTGTTTAGGTTTAGTCGTGAAAGGACAATTCCACAGCACACAAAGATTTCCAGGAACCAAAAGCAAATCTGGAAGCCAGCAGACAAATATACGTATTTTCCATCTGCACTATTTTTAATCTATTACTTCAAAGTCCTATCCAAGCCCTTTAAGAATGCCCAGGAAAAAAAAAAAAACATTTTCCAGTGTAGTTGTTGGGGTTTCAAATCACTGGAAAGCAGAGAGCTTCCCCCTCTATGCTGCATGGACAAAAAAGCTTTTTTTTTTTGGCCAGTGTGCTTTTTTACTGCGTTAATTTTCTAGGTGAAGGGTAACTTCTTCCTACATAAACTTTTAATAAGGAAAGAAATAAAAAATGCAGAGAACTAAAGCCTACAAATCTTTATGCATTTGCAAGAGGTGCAGGGACTGGGACTCCTTTAGCAGTATAAGTAACAACACCAAGTCTCCACGTTCTAATACTGAACTTTATTGCAATTCAATAAATGTTTCTATATATAAATCACACAAAAGCCCTCCGTTTTTGTATTCCATGAAAATGACAAGTTACACTAAATGATTATTACAGACACACAGAGTCATCTTAAAGCCAGTGCAATATAGAACAGTACTACAATCATAATACCTGTTGGTAAGATTAAATATATATACATTTTTTAAAAGCCAAAACCATGGAAGGGGAATACATTAGTGATTAAATATAAGATTATATTGTCTATAGCAGCTTTTCTTTAATACTCAACTACTCTATCTAGCAGCAACGTTGTCTAATGACTGTTAGACAGTTTGTATTTTCAGTCAGTAGGTGTTTTGTTCCAATAGTTCATACAGACTGTAGCTTTCTCTGATCATCACCTTAGCAGGAATGAATAAGTTCCTACTTCCTGCTGTTTGTAGGAGTCATAACAATACTACTGCAACTTCAAGAAAACAAGTCACATATTAATTATCTCCTTCATATTTGAGAGTACAACACAGGCTGTATCCTTCATTAATGTTTTCTCCTCCAATACAGACTATAAATGCATGGAAATTTCCAGGAGGTCTGTCTAATCCAGGAGAAGACATTGGTAAGTCCTAGGAAGACAGGTCAGACGTCAACAGAGTTACAAAGACATTAACACTGCTGAAATACAGCATGACCCACACCACTCCTTTGAATTTGTTTCTTTGAATTAATGGTGAGCAGATGAAGTGACATGATCCTGTGACCTTAATGGTAATTGGGTAACATTATATTGGTAACATTGGGTAACATTTGGGGCAAAGAAGTTTTGTATTTATAACATTTACTCTTTTCCACAATTTCTCTTAAGTGAGTGCTTGAAGTCAGCTGACTTTTTGTGGGCTTGTTGGATATGCTGTAATATGAGCCAGAAGTGCAGAGGATTAAGGTAATCAGTATATAAACTAAATAAAACTGAAACAGGGAGCTCTCGGCTCACACTGAAATCCAGGGCAGTGACCTCAGTGATGCACTGAGCAAAAATTTCCAGCTCTCCATTTGTACATGCAAACCAGAATTAAATACAACTTTTGCTTCCTCCCACCCTCATTCATTTGATTTGTTTGGACTAAGAGCTCTTGGCACAGGGCAGCATTAAGTGCAGCAGCTCGGTCCTGTGGGCACCTACTCAACCAGGGACATAAAGCTCTTCTGTATTAAGAAATAATGCTGATTTGAGGAAACCTCTCATTTCTGCCCAGCGTAGCACAGGTGATGACAAGCACTGGTGCAGTTCTGTTCAGTGGTGAATGAACAAGGCTGTTTATGAAGAGAGAGAAAATTTGGCTTTTTTTCCCCTTTGTATCTCACCCCTTAAAATCATGATCCATAGACTGGTTGTTTTTTAAACTGGGCATTGAGCCCAGGCTTCCTGACTGTTCCATACCTTAGAAATACCTACTATTTTAGCAGTCTCCCTACAACACTTGCAGGGCTTGTATTCCAGTTCATTATTTCAACACATGGAGAAAGTTTCTAGTTATTGGGATATGACTGAATTTAGTTTCACAACTCCCGAGTCTCATTTTCAGTCTTTTTGTCAAACCCAGTGATGGAAATCAAAACCATTTGCTGGACAATGCAAATACACGTAACAGTGAAATGGATCCATGTTTTCAGAAGAATCCCAAATGCTGTGGTTGTTGTCTAGCCAGGCTTCTTCCGACTTCTAGTGCCAGAGGCTCTAGGCCAGGAGATACCAGCAGGATTTTTGTGCCAGCACTGGCATTCCAGTGGGATTCCCCAGAGGGATAGTGCTACTGAGTAAGCCAGAGGCCACCCCTCAAAAAACAGGTGAGATTATGGCTGGAGCCTGGATGTAAGTACTGGAAAACACCCAGGAGAAAACAAGTCTCCCACAGCTCCCCTCCTGCCACTTCTAAACTACATAATAATAAAAGTTATGATTCTCTGCATCACATCTTATATTACAAGAAGATATAAATTAGTGAAGCATAAAATATAATAGAGCTTAATTTTCCTTTTTTTTAATCCTTACATACTCATACCTTATAAACTCATTCAAGGGACTACATTTTAAATTACAATTAAAAATTGCAATTACAAGGCTTGAAGATCCCGTGATTATATGAAGTGACAAAATACATGGCTGTCTACTTAAATGAGTACAAACTGACTCGTGCAAGTAATACCAATAGTTTCATAATGAATTAAGCAAAGTGCACACATTTTTGTATTTGAGTATTCAAGCCCTAGTGTTTCTTCTGGTTTAACTGTCAGTAGATATTTATATATATATATATATACACATTTAAATAAAAGGGAAACAGAAAAAGGCACTTTATCTAAAAGCAGAGCTCAATGCTCAAATGAAATCCCTAATTATCACAATTTCCTTAACTGTAGCCTGCTTCAACCTTTCTCATTATCTCAGTTCTTCACTTCTGTGTAATACAGCCCCCTGCCCAATAACAAAACACAGGGAGTTTTGCTTTGCAACCACTGTTTTAAACCAGGGGACCACAGAGGCCTCTCCGGGCAACATAAAATGCAATCTCTGCAAGGGTCAGTAATGGTACATGAGTGTCCTTCCCCATCTGGGAAACTTCACACAGGTCATTCCAGAACAAGACAGAAGCTGAGCTGAGGCAGAAATATGTGCATTAACGTACAGTAATTTGGCCAATGCTGGATTAATAATTTTGGTTATCTGTTGTTAGCCACTGTATGTCCTGATTATTTTTAATATTTGAAACTACCCCTCAAATGCCTGTTCTATTCCCCTCTAACATGCCAAGATGAAAGCTTCCATAGGATGGCAAATCTCTACAGGTCTTCTAAGATGTATTTTGCTTTTGGAAGCAAGCCAGCACACTCATTTCTTATTGAAAGTGAACTATAAGAAGCAGGTAACATAACAGCTCGGATAGAAGCAAGGAGAGGGATGGGGATACAAAGGACTGCAAGGAGGGTGGAATGCTGCCTTGGATTAAGAGATCAGCAGAGTCAGCAGCCATCAGAGTGTCCATGTCAAACCACCTCCTGCACAGTATTATCAAAAGGGGTAATTCTGCAGGATATACACAGGAAAGGCACTTAGCAATTAGTTTTGTTCAGGGACCAAAGAATTAGCTTATCCTTGTGCTGGAAAAACAGACTTACATCCTGAAAACTTGACGAAGCAGAACAGAGAACGCTTTGAGTTAGAGGGTTTCCGCCTTTCCCCAGTGTTTAAAGAACGCTAAGCGTTGCTCTTTCCACCCAGGAGACACAGCAGTTCGAGAGGTTTTTGAAGAGACTGGCATCAAGTCAGAGTTCAAGTCCATCCTAAGCATCAGGCAGCAGCACCAACACCCCGGAGCCTTTGGGCAGTCGGACATGTACATCATCTGTCGCCTGCAGCCCTCCTCCTTCAGCATCAGCTTCTGCCAGCAGGAGTGCCTGAGGTGTGAGTGGATGGACCTCGAGGAGCTTGTCAGGACAAAAAACTCTACTCCCATCACCAGCAACGTAGCCAAACTCCTACTGTATGGGTACAGGGAAGGGTTTGATAAGATCGACATAACCATGAGGGAGTTCCCAGCTGTTTACACAGGCCTGTTCTACAAACTGTACCACAGGGAGCTGCCCGAGTCCTACAGAAACATTACATGAGAGCAATACATTTCACATTTCGTTAGATTAATAATTTAGAATTATTACTGCAGTGTTGCACATTAAATTTATTCATGGACTTCTTTTTAGGTAATTATTAGTAAGTAATTATTCTCTAATAAGCTAAGAGATAAATTATTTTTAAAGGTAAATATTGCTGCAAGTGTGCATCAGATTTGTTTTCCTTTACTCCATAAAGAAAGCGTAACGTAAATAAAACAGCTCTGCATAGATACCTAGAAGAAAACAGATGTGTTATTGATCTTGAAAATATATTTTCCAAGAAATTTTACCTCCACACACACTGGCACAATAGGTTTAAAGAGCAATATAAAGACAGTATGAAACATTCATGTTTTAAACTGGTATCTGGAAAAGTAGTTAATATCAGCAAATAATTGCTTATATTTTGCTACTTCAGGGAGGAGTAGGAAAGTCGACGTCTTTAGTGTAGTGTGGCAAATGTGCTCGGAATCCACCATGGGAATCAGCTTTTGGCAGACATGGGAAGAAAAAGGATAGCTTTCTGTCCAGGTCCAGTTTTTGGTCCAGGTTTGTACTGTCCAGTTCTTTTCAGTGCCACGTACCAGTCGGAGTATTTCCGTGATCGGTAAGTGTTATAGTTATTAGATTCCAAACGCTCAAAGAAGAAACATTCTTCTGTTGCATATTTCTAAAAAGGGGAAAAAAAAAAAGATTATTCGTATAACATCCAAAAACAATTCTTCAGACTCATGGGACTAACTTAGCAAAATTGTGAGTTAGCAGTACCTCTGGCTTTAAGAAATGGATATGAAACATTTCATGACAGAAGAATGATAGTTATTTTGAAAATATTGTTAAAAACACCTGCAAGAAGAAGAGGGTTTAACTGTGGTTCATTTGTGGTGTCTAACACAGACCAAGCAGGTTCTAGTTTGTTTTCTCTGTGTAATTCTTTGTTCTGATCAGAAATTCAAACATTTAAATGAAGGACCCTGTCCCTTGGCACTCAGTGACTTCCAAGCTCAGCAGCTTTGCCATCTCATCCTAGGTTACAGCCAAAAAGAAAAGCAGGGTGTAAGAGAAAAGGCACCATTTCCCTTGCCTTCCTCAACCCAGCATTTTATCCATTAGATAAATAGCATGGCAGAGTTCCAGCCTTTGCCTCTTCTTTTCCAATTTCGAGGTTTAACTTTTCCTAAAGCTAATTCAAGTCTGTGTTTATAGCATTCCGAAACAGTCTTTTCAAGATTTTTTTAGAGTTCAAAACTTGAAAAATAACGTTAAAAATTAAGGAGGTATATTCCACACGGAGACCAGGCATGCCATAGTATTCAGAAGTACATCTATGGAATTACTTTACTTCTGGAAGGAAGTCTTCAAAGCCAGCTCTACCTACATGGAATTAACACGGCTCTCAGCTGTCACAGTGGTAAATCCACCTGCAGAACTGGCACTTCAGGCAAGAGAAATTATTTTCTCAAATATGAAAAAGGCAGAAGTTCAACACCCCAGGAACTTGGAGGGTGCATCTTCTTTTCATAAACACCACCTCTCAGTCCATCAGTTCAGTCAGACTCATTTCCCCTGAAAATTTTTGGGAATGCCAGAGGAGCAGAAAAGCTCGTCATTAAAAAGCAAGCGTGTAAAATACTGGGGAGCAGACAGAGAATGTGAGGCAATCCCTGAAATTAGCAGGCTACCCTTTGTTATCATCTTCTGTTAATATTCATTAATATATAAAGTGAGCTTGGAACAATTAGACTTCACATAGAAGGCACAAAAACATACAAGAGAAGGGTAACTCCTCATATATGCCAAGATTCTGTAGCTACAAACAGTTAAATCCTTCAAGTGCAATCTAGAATAAAGTGATCTGTCTCCAAACACATCTTCAAATAGAAGGGTATTTTCTCCCATCACTTTCAGATACGCATTTTTTCTTCTAAGAAAAAGAACTTGTAAGAGAAAATCCATCTGCAGTTTCTCATTTCTATAACTCACTGCTACTTGTACATTTCAAATAACAGAAATCCCATTCACAATTTTCATGTTATTTTTATTTTAAATAATCTCTCTCAAGATAAGTTGTACTTCAATGCTTTGTGTTCCAGCAATGTGAGAACAAATGCATTAATCACCTCAAGCCATAGATCCAAGCGTGAAAGGGAGGAGGGCACAGAAACTGTATAAAGAAGCATTTAAAAACAAAACCTTTAAGTGGAGTATAGGCAAGTTCAGTACAATTGCTCAAGCTGGAAATTCAGGCAGAGACACCATCAAAAAAGTGTGAAAAAAGAAAAGTCTTTTTCTGCACAAAGCATATGTGACACCAGTGGGTTCCTACTGTGTGTTGCCAATGTAAACATTTTGACATAAAAGCCAACATTTAGATGACAAATGCTAATTCAGGCTTCATAAACTATGTATTCCCTAACGTCTGCCAAAGGAGACATTTCGGAAGCCGGACTGCTGTCCAGCAGGAGCAGGATGCCAGCCACCACACTGAGAACCTCAGCCTCTGGAAAAACCGTGGATATCAGTGGTTTTTTCAAATACGCTTAAGTCTAGGCTGCACTCAGAGCGCTGATCCAGCAGGGAAAGCTTCCCCAGCACAGCATGAAACACCTGAACTCTGCAGCCCTCCAGGAGAAGGATAAAGGAAGGGAAAACACCTGGGGCAGTGGCGGGAAGCGAGTTCCCCCTGTGCCTGCCCTGCTGCCAGTCAGTATTTTGTCGGCTGCCAAGCAAGCCCTCCCCCCTGATTAAATAAAATCCTGAGTGCAGGAATTTTCAACTTTAGCAATCCTGAAATCCTCAAGTCGATTCACCTAGGGCAAATTAATTGCCTGAAAGAGGGGCAGCAGCTTCCTGCAACAAGGTGGTTCTTCCCATATTTGCACAGACATCACCCACTGATTGATTTTTCAGTGCAAACCTCATCTGCCCTAGAGTCACACCATGCCAACAACTACCTCTGACATTTTGGACTTGGATTAGGAATTAAAATTCCTCAAGTTTATTAATTCTCAAAACTGAAGCCAGAGGGTTTATTAACCTGTAACTACCACAGTGGATCCAGTACGGCCTGAGAGAGGTGATGATCATATTCAGCCTTTTCTAACTACAAAAGGGCCCAGAAATGCAGGTTTTTCTCACAAATATTCCTGTAGCACAACTTTAATCCATAACATCAAAAGACAAGAATTTCCCTTCAAGTCGAGTTTTTGAAGTGAAACCATGTAAGCACAACAGACAGAATGAACAGGTCATGCCCTTTAATAACAAGTTATCGTGAAATATAAGTTAGTCAAAAGTTCAATTCTTCCTTTCATAGGAAGTTTGGTAAATTCCTTCATTAAGCAAAATAATCACATTTCTTTCCATAAAGTGAAAATATTTTATTATTATAATTAAATGAAACCGGAAAGTGAAAATAAGCCGTATCAGAAGTGAAACGTTTCAGTGTTTCCATTAAAAATCTGATGGAATAGATACTTTTCCGCGCAAATATTTTCAGTTAAAACAGCATTTTCCAAGGGGAGGTTTTGACTATCTGCATTAATAACCAGCCATTTCCTCCCATGACACAACTGGTAAAGATTAGTTCTCCCCCACAACTGAGTCTGTTAGTAAAGAGCATGAAACTGCGCCATTAAAACCAGCATCATGCAGCTTTCCAGACAAGAACACGATCCACTGCACCCTCACACAGATCACCAGGATGAGCAGCGATGCACCGGCCGTGCAATAAATCATTCTGCAAAACCCAGCTCAGAACAAACTCTGAAGACATGTCTGCACAAAATAATTACAAAAACATTTGGCAAGATGAAAAGCAGGCCCGAGTAGTAATTTGCAAAAGTATTTTTGAAGACGTTGATATATTTATAAAACAAGGACACTAAACGAATGGATGCTGGACATTGACAAGTAAGTAAAGCAAGCAGACATTAAAAAAGACAGAATAGTACTTGAGTGACTAGTGGATTAGAGAACTCCGTGAAGTGTTGAGAAACTAAAGTTCCATGACATTTTAGAAGAAACAGCCAAAGGTTTCAGCAGTGTTTCATCATGTGCACTGACGAGATCACTGCACCACAAAGGTTTCCAGCGTATGCTCTTTGCAGAGCTCTCGCTGAAACACAGCCCTGCTCAAACTGAACGAGAAACACTGGCAATTAGAAACAGTTTGCTGAATGTGTTTAGAGGCAGAAACAGTAGAGGCACAAACGGCCACAGACTGTTGGAAGTCACAATACAGAAATCCTCATGGAAAAAACATTTGCCGGTGCTACAGAAAACAGCCATGAAATTGCAGCAGCATTCGTTAGGCTGGGTGAAGAACAAGATCTTAAAAGAGTAGAGAATTTTCACCTATGAATAACAAAATAAAATTAAAAGAGCCGTAGGAAGTATTGTGCGCAGCAAACACAATGCAAGTAATGCCCACTTCCAGAAACTAACACAAATGTTTTATAAGCTTAAGTGAGAAGCACGAAGTGACTCAGCTTTATGCATTTTGAGAGTGTAATTCCGAGTGAACAACTGACAGTTTCCAAGCACTTTGCCTTAGAGGAACTAAGCAGCTAAAATTGCTGCAAGGAAGGCATGTTCTACAACCCAACCCACCATTGCAACAGCAGAAATCCCAAATACAACGATCCCCCTGTGTTTAGAATTTTACAAATGGCACTAAACACCCTATTTTGACCATTCACTGTCACTTGGGTTAAAGAGGATGATCTGAATGGGAAGGCGAATGCCACCACACCAGCACCACAGGAAATTCCCCATTACCCTTAACTCAAGAATAGCACAGTGGACAACTCCTCATATTTTCTTCAGCTGAGCTGTCACACAATACCCAAGTAACTTGAAGCAGGTCCTGTAACTGTACTCACAGGCATGAACAAAACGGGCTTCCCGGAGCAAGAGATGTGGTGCTGCACATCTGTGGTGCTGCAGAGCACCCCGGGGAGCCCTGCTCCTGTGAAACTCCTTTCAGCCTCATTTCACTGAGGCAGGAGGGAAATCAGAAGGAATTTCTGCAGCCCTTGGCATGGGTCTTTCATCAGCTGCTGTTCAGCCAGGGTTAGGAATGCACATTACTAATCCCAGTCACTGGTGGCGACTTGCACAGAGGCTGAATGTTCAAGACACCAAAGTATCAGGGATTATTGCAAACTGAAATTCTGAAGGGATGAATGCCCTGCACTGGTGCTTCACCAGTGTTGGAGGTTTGCCAGCACTGAAGGTTATGGATGAGAGATTTAAGCAAAATTAATGTAACTGCAGCTCTTAAAGCAAAATTTAT